CTCTGCTTCTTTCGAAAATAGAAGGGTAGTTTCCAGTGTTACATTTTTTTTATAAAATATTACATAACACCATTGTATTTAGAGAAGATAGTAGGACAACCTTATGGACGTTTCATTGGAGGCAATTCTGTCGCGACATCTGTTAGAAATTCATCAAAATAGCCCGAACGCTAGCACTTCCTCGAGCATTGAGTACAGAATTCTATGTACATAAAATTTTCTTAATTTTTAAATTCATATGGGTAGAGTGCTAAATTTAAATTACTATTGTTTATATTCTCTAAAATAATAATAAATCGTAAATGAATGTTCAACAAGCATAATTAAACTCGTATATTCCATTTTTAAAACAAATATTCTGAATCGATTATTGGCCCATCTATTAGTAAATAGAGAAATTACGTTCGTTTCGAAGACGACAAAATTATCAAAGACATGACTTGGACACCACGGAGCTTGCTGCCATCTATTGATACTGTCCATTGTCCTCCAAGATAATTTGCATTGGTATTGTTTTACTAGTTGATCTAAATACAATGATAACACTATCGATGTACTATTTTTGATAAATGAAATAAATTTTAATTTTCCCCAAACAGCCATTAGATATCATAAAACATTTTATACAGCAAGTATTTGAACGAACTTGGGAAGAAATTCACCTATAACGCTAATGTGCTCAAATTTTAATTAATTTTGTTCTGATTGTGATATTTATTTCGACCATTAGTTGTACTAATTTGTAGCTAATGTATTTAGGATTCTTTCTTTACTTTTTTTTGCTGTTGCTAAAATTATTTTCTGTCGAAATATTATGTTTAACATTTATTTCATGTATTTTTCTGTAAATGGATTAATTTGTTGGGCAATAAAATTATTTTTATTTTATTAAGCAAAAAAATGTTTATTTTGATGCACCTACCACCTTTAAAAGTTTGTCAGTATATTAATGAGAAATCCTATATAATTCCCAAAGAAAAATATTTTTGGAATAAATTCCGAATTCTATTTATTGATATTTGTTATTTTTTAGGATCAATGACTCGAAACATGATGATCAGCTACACCAAGAATATCTTTGATACTTAAAAAAATGGTACGAGATTAAGCAGATTTGATGCTATGTCACATTGTGGTGCGAAGACGTGGCTTGTATAAATTTGGGGTATCAGTTTATAGAAAACAGTACGCAAAAATAAATTTAAATCAGAGATAGCCATATTCCATACCACAATACGTCATGCGTGAACTCGATGAGATTTCATCGGCTAAGTATCATTCCTCTGTAATGTTTTGTATCATTAGGAACACCAACATTGTAAACAATTATGACCAGGGTTTTCTAACCTTTTCCCTAGGTCAGAGAGAATAAATGAAAACTAAATAATGTATAGTAATAAAGATTGAAAATATATATACTTTTAAGAGTTTTATTGTCAGCCACAGTTTTATACCAAAAATGAAAATAAACTGAAATTATATATTAAAAATACATTCATAAATTAACTATATTTATAACACTCATCGACTCTCTCCTGGCTAAAATATTACTTATCTATCTATTCGGCTCTGTTCCGTCTATTTTTTGCCTTTAGCCTTCTTCTGACACTTCCATTCGTTCTTATTCAGTGTAGTATGCATAGTTTTCAGAATATCAAGTGTTATACCAGAGACAATCCAGCGAGACGTGTAACTCAATGTATTTTTTTGTTCGGTAAAAGTTATTTGGACGATTGTAACCACAACCAGTCTATGATGGCGCCACTAGTAAATAGCGGGAAAATTAAAAATGCTTTAGGGCGGGAAATTCAAACGGATTCAGAAATAAATAGTTTTTCTATACAAATTTACAGGAGAAACAAAAACTATTGTTTCACTGTATATTAAAAAAATACAAAAGCTTCCAATAACATCAAATTTTTTATCATATAAATAATCATTTTAATAAAGGAAGTTTTAATCAGTTTAATATAAGCAGTGAACATAGTTTTTATTACTCTTGTAAATTTCGCTAAAAAAAAAACTTGAAAATTCTATTGATTATTAAATATTTAAACTTGGAAAAAGAATACACCAAACTCTTTTTCTATAAATTATATTTTTGTAAGGTACAGAAAAACAAACTACAATTGTTTCGTTTAGAAAGTACCTCGTATTATTTTGTGACAAATTACAAAGAAAGTAACAGTTGTTATATATTCATAATATATTTAAAAACTAATGTAACAAATATTTTATAAAGTATAGAGTATATCAATACCTTTTTGCCAGACTATCATAAGTGCCATTTAAACAAATGTTCCTTACCTGGCAAAAAGGTATTGATATGTTATGACTGTTGATTTTAATAGAAACCATGGAAACGAAACAAACACATACACTCAACACAAATGTATAAGGCCCGAGTCGTGTAAGTTCCCATCCTGTAAACTGGATCGAAACCTGCTAGACCCATTCTGTACACCCCCTGCTAACTCCTCTTAGGGTAATCAAGATCAATAGATTTATATGCCATGACTTCTAAAAGGGAATGAAGGATGACATACTATCATTTAAACAGGACATTGCTGAAGGCTTATCCCCTGTTATTTGGTTTGTTTGTGTATCTTGTGTGTGTGTGTGTGTGTGTGTGTGTGTGTGTGTGTGTGCATTCCTGTTGTGTCCCCAGTCATGTAAAAGTTTTCCTAGTCTCCTAATTTGGTTACTAGGTGGACCTTCTCCAACTAGTAGTCTAATCTATTTGATCTGTTCTGCAGCAGGAGGTACTTTTTAAACATAGCAAATAATATTATTAATAATAAACACTATTTAAAGATGCATACATTTTTGTAATTTTTTTGTCATTGCCCCTTACCTGTCTCTTACACCACTAGGGTATACCTATTTTCCATATTCCCTTAATTATAGATTACCTTACAATGTTTGAATGAATATAACATTTTACCCATGACAAATCTAATTTCGTATTTAACTCTTTTTCAATTTCATTTGAAACAATTGGTACCTATATTACAATTTATTATCAAAGAAAATTTATAATAAAGTTATAGCAAATCCTACTTAAACTACTGGTTGTTCTGCAGGATAAATTAACTTTTCTTGAGATTGATCTCTCTCTAAAATCCAAAACCGACCTGATGTCCCCAAATGTATTTTCCAATGCATCCTGATTTAAAATTCTGCCCTTTTGTGATTCAATTTTTTTCTTCCTTTAGAGTGGCTTTTAGAGGTAGAAATGGCCAATCTCTAATCATTTCAAAAGTTCTTTGCCAATACTACATGTGTAGATTCTTTACTCTGCATACATTTTACTTTTCTAGTAGGTAGGAACTTTGTGCTACCATTAAAGCTGTCCAGACATTCATCTACCTACTTAATGAACAAAAGTAGCTGTAACAATGGATCTCTGTTCCAATTCACCTAAAATAATTATAGTCATTTTGTAATATATTATTAAACACACACATTATACAGTGGTTTTCTTAATAAATTAGAAATTACTTACCTCTAGAACGAAATGTGTACAAAAACGTGAGTTTAGTTCCAGAAATTTCTTCATGCAAAAAATAATATGCAAAAATAAACATTCCCCCCAAAGAAAATTAATTAAACAACAAAATCAGACTCAAAGAAATAAGCGGGGCCCAAATTAAATTAATTTTAATAAATTGCACACGTTCATAACAACATTCATAACATTGTCAGTTTTAATCGATACGTCGACGTCAAAAAACCAGCAACATCAGCGACCTCTTAGATTGGTGTTAGTTTTATTGGAGGGAGATAAATATATGTAAAGAGCAATGTAAAAGAGAAAGAAAGTCATATATGTAATTTAAATGGACCACCGAACAATTTTTTCTATTAAGTTACACGTCTCTGTTGTCTCTGGTTATACCTATCTGATGCTTGGTCCTGCAAAGTTCATCTTCAGTACACCTGCTTATGTGACATCTATCTCGATGTCAAGTTTGATTGAACACCCGTTTCTTGCCTATTACTCTTATACTTAACCAGAACTAGCTTAGACTCGAACGGCCAAACACAGCCTTGGTACACAAATATCTATTTTACCGCTGGTTTCATTACAAAAAACTGCAGTAAAGGGTAAAATAATCTCTTGTCCAGTACACTCGTATACACTTGAGTATTAGCCTATATTATTTTTGATTGAAGACGTATACATTTAAAAATGTCGTTTACTTAAAAATAAACATTTAATTTTGATATTTTATTTAACTCAATCAAAACATTAAATTATTATTTTCCATTTAAATATGGCTTATACCGGACCTGTATGTACTCTAGTAGCCATGGAGTAGCTGACAGTGTTGCCGTCAGTTGCCGCCACATATTCATTAGTGACATACGTTTTATAAATTCATCGTGTTACATATTTGTTGACATAAAGAGATAGAAATTTAAAGTGACGTCTTGTATTACTTCGAAAGAAAAAAATCGATAATACAATTTTCTAACCTAAAAAAAATCGTGATTATATGTCAAACGAAATTGAACTTGCCCTTAATGGTCTGGTTTTTATTATCTCGATAGAAAAAATGATAAAAAAAGTTTATTGGTTAAAAACACAATGGTTAAAGATGCACTTCATGCAAATATACTGCAGTCTCTGGTGAAAAATACACTTCCATCGTATAGCAGATATTTTTAGCTATCGGTTGATATAAAATTTTCTATTTATTTTTACTTTTTTCCACTAGAAAAAGCTAATTTAATAGGTGGTAATAAATGGCCACGACACGATATTGTCGATATGGTATTATATATATATTTATTTCCCCCTATATTAAGTGTTGTCCGTCCGCGCCGCAGATCACTGAACTATATATTAAACTGGAAGAACAAAGCCCTATGTTTAAATTAATACAAAGTACAGATCGACAAGAATAACAAAAACCGTGAGATGCGTCATATATCCGCGCATATGACTTTGCCATTTGCTATTTCTACCTTACTGTATATAACTATTGTTTTATTACCTGAACCTGGAATGTCCGGAAGGCCAATGATAATTGTGTTGTTTAGTCAAATGCTTGGTTAGATAAGTGCCCCTTTTAAAATGTTTTTTGCAACAGTGACATTCGTATGTTGAACCGGCCTGAAAAAGAACTTTTTATCCATTTTTTCTTAACACAGAAAATTACTTACGCTGTAATGTTTTTTGATGTAATGATTTTCTAAACCTACGGTGGAACGGCATTCGAAATCGCAGATGCAACATTTAGAGGGATTATCCTCTTTGTGTGTTCTTAGGTGAGTGTTCAAATTATGTTTTTCCACAAATCTACAAAAGTATTTTGGGGTCAAAGTCATATTATATCACAGTTAAACATCAAATAATCGTGTAAAACGTCAAAACATTATACCAAACATCAAAACATGACATGAAATTATGAAGTCAAACGTAATAATAACTCAAGAATTATTAGAAAACCAAATTACTTACGATTTACCACATTCCAGACACTTGTAAGGTTTATATTTGACGTGCTTAAATCTGATGTGCTTTGCGAGTATTGAAGGTTTGGGACAGGTCATGTCGCACATGGTGCATTTATAATGGTTTATGTGAGATCTCATGTGATCTCTGAGTAACCTTTCAGTCGGGAACATCTTCAGACATTGGGAACATTGATAACTTTGTACTGCAATAAAATCACAAAAAATAAGCGTTATTGATCCTGGAAAACTATTAATTTAACAGTCCGTACATTATCTTTAAATTGGCATTTTCCAGAAAGATGGCTTATTACCTCTGAGGTAAGATGTAATTTCCAAGAAAATCTATCAATTAAAAGATGATTTAGTTAAACTAAAAAAAAATAACTTACATTCAGAAGACAACTGTCTTTTTCTATGATCGCAAAATTTCGTTTTACTTGAAAATAACCTTCCACATATAGGACATGCTACGACTTTCTCTTTAGTATGGATTCGTACATGTTCCATCAATTTCGTTTGCGTTGAGTATGACGTATTGCAACCTACAAACAAAAAATACACTAAAAAAAACAATAAATACTACACATATAATGTGATAAACTGCCACTATTAGATTTTGCAACATTAATTGCAAATAGTTCGCCAACAGTCACTAAATCGGTACACTGCAGTTGGAATTAGGTTTACAAGGTTAGCAAATCGCGAGGACCTTACAGGATGGATGTATACTGCAATAGTGAGACCAATCATCACTTACGGGGCTATAGCCTGGAGTAACATAACTAGTTTAGCTACAACGAGAGCTAATATCTCAAAAGTACAAAGACTAGCCTGTGTTTGTATTACTGGTGCAATGAGAACCTGTCCTACGGCCGCAATGGAGGTGATCTTAAACCTCACCCCTCCACATTTGATGATAGAGAATGTGGCAAGAAGGACACGATATAGAATGATCGTCTACTTGCTTCAGGACTAAAGATACCTGGGACATGCTCCAGGATGAAATGCTAAAGTACAGTTTTGTGAAAAACTTCAAAACCACAGAGCTGGGCTGCAAGAAAGAATGCATCAAAGAATCCATCGTGCTTGCAACCGAAAGACGTGCTACTCAGTGGTATACGGACGGTTCCAAAACCATAGAAGGAACTGGAATAAGAGTGTATGGGCCGAGAACCAAGCACTCCGAAAGCTTGGGAAAATACCCAAGCATCTTCCAGGCGGAAATTCACGCCATCGAGAAGTGTATCCAGTTTAACATCGAGAGAAACTATCATAACTATCATACACAAGAGATTATCATTATGTCCGATAGTCAAGCAGCCATCAAAGCGCTGAGCTCTTACGTAATCAGCTCAAAAATGGTCTGTAGATGCCTAGAACAATTAAATGAGCTATGCGAGAAAAACAGAGTTACTCTCACTTGGGTCCCGGGACATAACGGGGTACAGGGTAACGAGATTGCAGATAGTCTTGCAAGGAAAGGGGCTCAAACACCCTTTGTAGGACCTGAGCCGTTCTTCGGTATCAGCAGTAACTTAATATTAGGAGAGATTAAAAAAGAATTGGGCAGTAGAAGAACCGATAATTGGAACAATCTCTTGGGGCTGAGACAGGCCAAGATACTTCTGGGTGAATATAACCAGAAAAGATCGGAAGTCTGCATCTGCCTGAGCAAGAACAGGCTACGTATTGTAACAGGGATTCTTACCGGGCATTGCCGACTAAAAGGGCACCTAAGTAAACTGAGAGTAGTAGAGGATAGTGAGTGCAGATTCTATGAGGAGGAGGACGAAACCTCCATTCACATGCTATCTGAATGTGTAGCACTCCAGAATCCAAGGGCACTATATCTAGGAGGATATCAAATAGAAAAGGGAGATTTACCTAACTTGAAGCCACTTCAAATCCTACACTTCCTTGAGAAAATAGGATTGGAAGGGTCGTTATAGGCATTGAGACATTTCCTTAGTGCATTGGCGACAGAAGGGGACACAATAGATCTTTTAGGTCGCAGTGTATTAACACCCCATTCTCAACATAACAGGTTTAAAGAAAAAATTAAGGAATCCCAGAGGGATTGCAAGAATTTAATAAAGGAATTGATAATAATAATAATAATATTCTCCCTAATTCACCCCCTTACGAGTTAATTTTAACCCCAAAAGCTGAGCTTGTGCGGGGAAAGGGACGGATATTATTATTTGCCGTGGCGCTCCGGGGCGACTTAAAGATGATTGATGGTGCCATTTGACTTACAGGTGAGGAAAACCCGGAAAACCTCACCCACCATCATCAAGACGGTAATGCATGGCAATTTTATAATCTGCATGTCATATCAACAGAAATTTAATTTCTATTAATACGGCACACATTAAATCCTATACCGAACCATGCAATTTAATTAAAAATCCACATGGTCTGGGCTGGGATTCGAAGCCCGGCAGTCTCGGACCATAAACTTGCCTATAAATGAATATAAGCGCGTTAGACTGCTACACCACCGACCCGATAAATTGAATTGGAAAGGAGGCTTTGGTGTACAAGTTTTGGCCTGTGGTTTACCCCTCGAGGTACACCAACTTAGTGTAGTGAGATATTAGGGAAAATATCATTTAATTCTTTAATTTTTCAGTGTCGTCCACCGGAATTAGGAGAAATTTTTATTATAGCTGAAAGAGCCAGATAACAATGAAGGTTTTCATTTTTTTTGACAAAATTTCACTTTGCGTATAGATAAGAATGATCGGAAGAAGGTATTATATACATATAAACATTTTTCGCCGTTTTTTTTCTTTTTATCCTTTTTCCGTATTGTACTCAAAAACGATGGGTTTTCATGAAAAACTTTACTGAACTTTAAGGTAAGAAAATATGAAGTGAAAATTTTTATGGAAGTATCATAAAAATAAATTTAAAAAATATAAATAATAATAAATAGAAAAAATAATAAAAAATAAGCCTGACTATATTTAAGTCACAGTACCTTGGGCACTTGCGGGTTGGTGATGTCATTATTTCAAATTAGTAAAAATTAATTTTGTCAAAAATAATACTATGTATTTTTGTGAACATAAAATGTTGTTTTACAAAGCAAATCCAACAAAATATATTCAATAGCCGTGCTTTACGCACGAATATGAAACATCACAAAAAAATTACAAACTTCACATTTATACTTTGATCGTGAACATTAAATTTGTTTTTATTTTTCCAAATCAGCTTTTTAGATTCTGGTTTGTGTTCCGATATTCCTCAACCTTGTCACCATCAGTAACTGTAAGGTTAATTTTTTTTAATCATTGATTGTAATCATTTATTTATATAAAATGTGGACATTTATAAATTTATTATTGTAGATCCAAAAAGTGCTAATTTTCGTTGCCATTTGGTACCTCCCTGCAAACACTAAGAGATCTGTGAAAGATATGCACTCATAAGCAGAAACTATTTGAGGCTTTTCTACTTCTTTTTCCCTTTGACGCATTGTTGTCATTTGTCATGTATGATTAGAGTTGACAATATTAGTAGGTATATCTCGTTCATAATTACAATGCCATCAATGTTGTGACTAGCAATAATTATTTCGTTTCTTTTTAATTTTTTAAAGTTCTTAAAGTTTTTTAAGTTCTTGGACAAGATAAACAAGCAAATATCTGTACGAAGTACACGTCAAGCAGTCCATGCTTATTCATTGAGATCTTCGGACCGCATGACGTTCTCTAAAGAAACTAATCAATCATTATTTTGGCAAAAAAATAATTTGAATGAAAGGTAATAAACAGTTTTCGTTAAAAATATTATATTTTTTATTCTAACTTGAAATTTACGAAGGAACCCAAAAAATTTTTGACGCTGGGGCTAAACATGTTAATATTAATAAAAAAAAAATGTTTAGAAGGTATTATAAATTATTTTAACCACTATTAGAAATAATCATAATTAAAAAAGCGATTTCAAAATCTTTACTTAGTTTGAAATAAATAAAAAATGATTTCCTTCAGAATTTGAGACAGCTAGAATCAAGAAACTTTAATATTGCTAAACCAGCACAAAATAGGTACCTATCTCTACTATTATGCAACTGATTTAATGAGATTAATTTCTCTTCCCTCTTCATTTTTCCTATTTCTCTCAGTGATAGGTCCATAAATGCAGTCAGCGTCTTATGTAAAGTAACATAAATCATGTCAAATGGAGACATGTATACAATGATTTTTAAACTGAAAGCCAACGCTGATATCAGCCATTTTTTCCACAATTATTTCACACTAATATATCGTGTTTCTAGAAGAATTGCAACAGATGATCGAAAGGGCGTTAGTGTGCAGACGTTCAATACGAATTGGCGCAATTTTACTTAAAATCAAAGAAAATGACACTATAGAGTGACTCAAAAGATTAATTGTTACCTTTCCAACAACAATCGATGACTTCCTTTGCCTTGGCCACTTTAGGATTATTTTTTATATGTACAACCATGTGATCCAAAAATTCGAATATGGTACAAAAATCAAACGAGCAATGTTCCCATTCGCACTTGTAACCATTAGGTAACAAAGGTATCATGCATCTGTGTCTCTCTGTGCAAGAGGGCAGTTTATTTCTTATGCACAAATTTTGCCCGATATTTTTTAGTTTTGCAATGTAAGCGTGGTAGGACATATGCTGCATTAAAAGTGGTACCGAGCTGCTGTCTTTGCCTATGCAATTTTTCCATTGGCACTTCAACTTATCTAAAAACAAATTTTAGTTTAAAATACTTAAATGACACAGTCTGAATCAAGCCGAGCTCGAGAACAGATGTGTTTATTGTAGTAATTATAGTCAGATTGATGGGTCCAATTTGGAGATTGAGACAGAAATTACTTATGAAGGAGAGTGGCAAGCAAAGAAATCCAAGAAAATAAGAAATAAAAACAAGAATGGTAGAGGAATCAAAAAGAAAGAAACAAATCTAAGTCAAACAGAAATAGAACACAGAATTTTGGGACCAAACTCTAGTACTATAAATAGGAACCAAGACCAAAACTCAACAAAAAACATTCAAGATAATCCAAGTTCCATGCCAACAAAAAGTCAATCTGAAAATATCGCGACGAATTGATAACCTCCTCCTTTTTTGAAGTCGGTTAATAAAAAATTCAAAACACAAATAAATGTACATAGTCCAAGAAAGTTAGAAAAAATAGCGGAACTTTTTAGGGACAGCAAATATCGAGATGCAGTTTTCTGCATTGTGTTCAGGAAGGTCCCAGGAAAAAAGTCTATATCGTCTGGTTTAGCCATTTTTTAAAAATGCCTTCTGGGCCGGAAAATGCATTTTCTAATTGCATCATTACTTGGAGGATGAATTGGGGGAGAAATGGCAGCGTACATGAAAATCGCTCCAACCTCGTTACTCGAGGGTTTTCGAGGATGCCGAATTCAATTCTGGCATTGGAATTATCCGGGGATCCTCGGGGGCCGCTCTGCGGGTGTTCCGGGTAGTCATTCTGGGGGGGAAATTGCATAGTCCATGGAAAGCGCTCCAAAATCGTTACTTGGGGGGTTTTCGAGGATGCCGAATTCAATTCAAGCATTAGATTTTCCCGGGGGTGGTTCTGTGGGGGTTGTCTGGGAGTGATTGAAGGGGAAATAGCAGCGTCCATGAAAATCACTCCAAAATCGTTACTCGGGGGTTTTCGGGGATGCCAAATTCAATTCTGGCATTAGATTTCCCAGGGGTGGCTCTGTGAGGTTGTCTGGGGATGATTGGGTGGAAAATGGCAGCGTCCATGAAAATCACTCCAAAATCGTTACTCGGAGGTTTTCGGGGATGTCGAATTCAATTCTGGCATCAGACTTCCCCGGGGACGCTCAGGGGTGGCTCTGTGGGAAATGGTAAAAGAGAAAGTGAAAAATCACAAATTATGAAAATTTAAACTTTATTCAAATAACAAATAGGAGTTTTTATTTATGTTGAATTATTCATTATCAACTTAAATTTTTAACTTGAATACTAAAGATCTTGTTTAAACTCGTCTTCTTCTTCTTGCATGCAAGTGAGCACTCCAACCCACTTTGGCGGCACCCGCACCTCGTGCCACAGTCGGTTTCACAAGAACAAGAAATTTTACTTAAAATTTTCTCGGGGCCGGCTTCCTGGGTCATGGTGACAGAACTGAGATCTCCATTCACCAATTCCCACCACCACTCCAACGGATCTAAGGTCTCGTCTTGACCTTGTGAACCATACCAAGCCTGTACTTGGAAATAGACACGCTTGATATGTTCGGTTAACGCATTGGCAGTCGGGATTATGCGTGCAAGATCGACTTTTTTTAGAATTGGTGGCTTCAGAATTCATTTTTTCTCGATAGCTTTGGACGGGCTCAATCGCAGATTTATCGCTCGTGCACACATCTTTGGGTCCCCCGTAAAAAAGCCAAAGCTAGACGAAGCCCATGATCTATTAAATTATCCATGGATACATGTGTTTGCTTAAATATTTCAGAAAATCCATGTAAATCATCGGATTTCTCAATTAAATCGCAGAATTTTATTTTCTCTCGATAGAGGTTGTGTCGTATCCCGTGAAAGCATTTAGAAATAATATATAAACCTGATCACGCGCTTCTGGATGCAAAGCTCTCGGAAGAGTACACATCAGGTACTCCCGGGTAATTCTAATGCCAGAATTGAATTCGGCATCCCAGAGTAACGATTTTGAAGCGATTTTCATGGACGCTGCCATTTCCCCCCAATCACCCCCCACAGACGGACCCCCGGGGAAGTTTAATGCCAGAATTGAATTCGGCATCCCCGAAAACCCCCCGAGTAACGAGTTTGGAGCGATTTTCATGCACGCTGCCATTTCTCCCCAATTCACCCCGCCACCTTCGTGCATCGCCGGGTAATTCTAATATCATAATCGAGTTCGGCAGCCCCGAGAACCCCCGAGTAACGATTTCCGAGCGATTTTTCCGAGTTTCCAGTCGTTCCTATAATGGTGCAAGTAATGATGCAATTGGAAAATGCATTTTCATGCCCAGAAGGCATTTTTCAAAAAATGGAACTTTTTTCCTGGGATCTTCCTGAACACAATGCTGAAAACCGCATCTCGATATCTGCTGTCCCTAAAAAATTCCGCTATTCCGGTCGATTTTGCCCTGGACTAAAACAGAATAAAGGTGATATTTGCCATTATTCCTCTCTAATGGGAGAGACAAACATTAATAAATATAAACAAATAATCTATATAACAGCAGAGACACAATATACTAGATTTACCATTACCTAAAAAAATGTGTATCTTATGACTCTGAAAAATATGAAGCATGGTCCTTCACGACCTACTGCCTCTATTGAAAGGATCCCTAATGTGAAAATTAGAAGTAACAATGTCTGCAGAAATTGAAAAGAATGTAAGAAAAATAATAGAATTTATAACCTAAAGTCTATTCAAATTTAATTTACCCCTGATGTAAACAGAAGCAGGTGGACGCTAAAATTGAGCAGGGCCGTATTTTACTTTTCCGTCTTGCAAAAATGTAAAATAAAAGAGTGTAATTGTGAAATTATTTTTTTATTACGATAAAAACATATTTTGTAAAGTAAAACTATAAAATAAATGCCATACACGGTCTCCCAGACTTTAGTGACATTTCTGGACGAAGATAGGTGAGCGACATAAACTGCGTTAACCTGCAATACAAATTAATAAATGTATTTGACTTTAAAAGAGATGGTTGCATTATATTTAGTTCATTACATATGTCTACTGTGATACAGAGCATTAAAGCAATCATATTATAAAATTATATTGTACAGGGTGTCCAAATAATTGCAAATTCTTTAATAGCTATAATATATATCTACTAAAAGCATTAAAAAAACTTTAAATATAAGAGGTATTTGGTATTTGAATTTGGTATTTGATTTAAAATTGTGCATCTTAAAAAGAAATCTTTTGTATTTTTGATAACTTTTGTTCTTTATTGTTCTACTAGTATTTAGATTAGACAACTTGTACCCTGTATTATAACAATCTTACTTACTTGACTTAGCACTATTCTGAATCGGATAAATTAGTTAGACTTGAAAGGCTATCTTCATTAATCAAAATTACAAGTGGTTCTACCTGAACCTCTATAATATTATCCAACTCTCACATTTTTACTTCAACTTTTTGGCGAACATGGTTGATACACTTTTTCCATTTTTCTGGAGAAATTAATAATATTACTTCTTCAAAAAGAATTTTAATGTCTCCAGATTTAAATGTTGAGTTTTTATCTGCTACGTTTTGTTTAACGTCAATCTAGATTAATTCAATAGGGTTAAGTTCACAATGATACGGAAACATGTGAAGTATTATGTTGTTTTGCTGCTTAGCCATTTCATCTATTATATACCTATCATAATGTTTATGTTGCGTACCAAGTTTTAGAAGTTGGATCTTAAGCATTTGGTAGTTGAATTCAATTGTTTTCCCTTATAGCCATTTTTAAATATAACGTAGCTTTCTTTTTGGTTCAGAAAATGTATGAATCTGCCTATATTCCTTCATAACATTAAAAACGGTTTTAGCGCACACCCCTGTTTTATCAGCAACTCTCCTTTCAACATCATGTACCAACATATCAGGGCTCTATAAAATTTAATGCTTATAAATATTAAGAACCATTTCTTTAGTACGGATGAACAAATGTCCCTTTTTCAGTCGCAATAAAAACAATTTTCTGGACTTCATCTGCTTAATTTAGTCAATTAAATGTCCATAAAATAGAGTAAAACATGTTCAAACTAACAACAACCACAAAAACAAACAAAAATAAATAACACAATATATGTATATCTAAACTATAATATAATGAATTATAATCAATCAAACATACAAAATGTCCAAACTAACCAACACGGTGAATGCTACCAAAACGCCGTTTATAATTATCCAAATTGAACTGAATTCGACTCTGACAAAAAATATTTGCGCGTCGTCTAAATGACTAACGACCGATTAACCAATAGAAGCGCAAAAAAATGTCACGTGAGCTGTTGCTGGATGGGAGAAATTGTTTTGACGCGGCGTAACTGAAATCTGAATAGACTTTAATCACTATACATGACAACATTATTGACATCTATATTACTAAACTGAACAAACCCAAAAACACCAATCGGTAACAATTAGTTAATAAACGTAAAAACAAGTCACAACAGCTATCTTTTCAGGCAATAGAGTCTATATGTTCAAGGTTGATATGGAGGATTCCGATTCAACTACTATACCTATACAACCTATAGAAGGTCAATTTAATTTGGTTCAATTTTTTTATTGAAACAAAAATAGTTTTATACCCTAAAAACATCTTATAATAATAATTATAATAATAATACTCTCGGGGGGTGGGTTGGCTCAGTGGTTAGAGTCATGACTTTGAGATCGGAAGGTCTCAGGATCGAATCCCACCGTTGGCCGGGATTTTTTCATTTAATTTAATTATTTAAAATTAATTCTGATGCCTTGGTTGGATTCCCCACTCGACCATTCACTGTTGGGTTCTAATTAACAGTGCTGTTCCTAAAGTGGCGCTGGGAAACAGTAACAAAGCCTACACAGAACACGAGGCTAATGACCGTAGTAGTCGACGCCAATGACACCAAAGGAAAAAAAAATAATATTACTCTCCCTAATTCACCCCTTTACTAGTGAATTTCAATCTCTGAAGCCGACTGAGCTTGTATATGGAGC